TTTTTTAAGTGAGAAATTGTGCGTACTTTAATAACTTCCTTTTGTCTTTTTTTAGCAGCACTACCGAATTCAACGCACGAATGTAACTGTTCAGAAAGTTCATGATTCAAAAGAAGAAAAGATGGTTGCCCGGGCATGTCATACCTAACAACTTCTCCTTTTTCTTCCAAAGCTCTTCGTTTTTTTTCTTGACTTTTGGCTTGGGCAGCGGCATGTTTCTGTAATCTTTGTCTTTCTTTTTTCTCAGCTTCAATTTCTCTTTTTGTTTCAGTAATTTGAACCAAGAAATCACGTCTTCTTTCGGGATTACGTGCGACGTTAAGTAATGAATTTAGTTCATCAAGCCGATCTTCAGCAATATTTTGCTTTTTTAACGAACTTCTTTGAGCTGTTGCATTTGAAGGCAGTTCTTCTAATTCTATCGTCGATACAGATAAGGAACTAGCTTCATCTGCAGTTATAGATTGATTTGTTGAAGATGGTGTAGATGGAAAAGATGCATATTGAATAGGTTGAAGAGGGGCTTTTAGGTAACCATCTATTTTACATTCAATAATGCCTTTATCTAAACTTTTCACAGTTTTCCATTCATTTTGCGCTTTTATAAAAACGTCTTGTTTTTTAGGAGAAGGGTTATTCATTGAAATCGCCATATGATAAACATATGCATTGCAAAAATTTTCATATAAGTTTGAAGGATTCTTAAAAATATATTTTTTATCATACTTAGGAGTACTTAAAAATCTTTGCATTCTTTATTTTTTTTATTTATTTTTTTTTATTTTTAACTTTTGCTTTTGCTAGTCTGTAAAATAGATTTATTTATCGAATTTTCAATTTTTAATATTTATTCAAGATTCAGAAGTTTTTATTAGCTAATATATTGCAATTCTTTAAAAAAATTATGCAATATTATTAATATATTTTAATTTTTTTTTTCGATAGTAACATGTAGCTTCGCGAATTCATTAAACAATACATTTTAATGCGAGTACAGTACAAGATTTTTAAGATTCTTCCAAATTCATACAAATAGTCTTTTGAAGGCTTGATACTGGTTAGTTTTCCTTATTTTCTTATTTTAAACGCATGAATTCTAATTAACTATGGGTTATTATTCTTCTTTTTTTGAACCTGAGTAATCACACGGTCCCTTTAATTTAACCATTACTGTATGAATGCGAAATAACGCCCGCCTGCGCGTTATTTTGTAGCTGCACTTATGGAGGGTCGATTGTATATCACGATAAATTATATGCTACGTTAGGATGTGCATTAATTTGGGATTCCCATGGGCGCTAATTCGAGATCATGTAAGCTATTTTTGAAAGACCCGAGTTTAAAATAACGGCTGAGAGTTATTTCGCATTTATATGGTATTATTTACAAGGATTTGATATTTTTTTTGTATCTTTACTAGTTCTTAAACTTTATTTCAAATAAGACTAAAGATCTTAGCATGTATATATGCATGCATTTATGTAGCAATTTTGGATATTTGGCTTTATCAGGTATTTTATACCAAGCTTTTTGCTGATTGTGTTGAATACTGGTTGTATAATGATGCGGAATCATAAGAGCCATAATGACAATAATAATACGCGATATAGAGGATTTGGACAAGGATACAGGTTATCATTACTGAATTTGGGTCAAAACCCCAACAAAATAATCCCAACAGTCGCATTAAGTAATATTATCTATGGCTCTGGTTTAATTTTGCTGGGATTTTGACCCAAATTTATCATTACATCTCTGTCTGCGGTGCTACATATTAAGTGAACGATTTGCAATTGAGACTTCGTTTTTTACTATATTTGGATAATAAAGCATTTTATTTTGTACGTACGTAGTGATACTACGTATAAACTCAATAAAATAATGCCCTGATTTTAATGCAGTTGCATAACGGGCAAATACAAGATTAATTTAACAATTGGAAAATGCAAAATTTTTTGTGTACTGATAAACGAAGTTAGCATAGCCATGTACAGTCGATTCTGGATATACCGAATCTGCCTATACCGAAATCGGGATTTAGCGAACCAGATCGGGCAGAACGGATTTTTTTATAATAATTTAGACTGATTGTACCAAACTCAAATAGTAAAATTTTATATACCACATCTGAACTCTTTTTTATCAACCCAGGACTATGTATATGTATGCGATATAATGAACTATCATAAGACTTTGCAAATGTATATACCTGAGAAGTCATGAGATCCGAAATATTTTGAGAAGAAAATATAAGGACAAGGCAAAAATTTTTGGAGATTTTCCGAAACAAACTCGTTTATATGCAAATTTTATTGGTTAGCTCTATATACCAAACTGTTTGGTATAGAGAGTGTAAATTATATAACGAATTTACTCTATACCAAACAAGATCTTCCAGAATATGCAGTTCGGTATGTCAAGAGTTGACTGTATTAGTATAAATGTGCAAGTTTAACAGGTTATAATTTATTATGTTTTACTCTTTATCTATATGTGTTACAATATTTATACTTATTAAGAAATTTTTATATATAATATATAAGAGAAATTTGATTGGTTGATTAATATATCAGGTGTGGGTGGGTGGAGGTAGCCTTTTAGTAAAGTTAAATCACCTAATTTCTGTCAGCTCCCTTACCAAATACAAGTATCCTCAAAATATACTTAGTATAGTACTCTTACCAACCTTCAGAACTCTTCATCTCTACTTAAATATCATAATCAACCCACATGCTACATATCATGAAATCATTACTACACCTTTAAAATAACACAAACTTTTAATGAATATGCTGAAAACATCTGGACTATATGTCTAGCATTTTTAAATCACATATCTCTCATAGCAAATCTAATAGTCACAACTCAAAAAACACATATTTTTATATTTATCTTAATTTTTATTTTCACTAACTACACAACAAAAACAGTTATACGAAACAAAACTTGGCCTAGCTCAACAAAAATCGCAATTACTGCTCTATATATACTCCTTATAATTGCCCTACTTATGCAAAGATAAACCTTATTATAAATTCTACTATCATAATTAAACTACTATTTATGCTTACCAATATCTTACTAAAAATAGCCTACACCATCTGAAAGAATACTAATACTAGTTTTCATACTGCAATACATGCAAAATACATTACTATCCAAGTTATATATTCACATTCAACCAACTTAATGTGCCTTTATGACAACATTATCCATACTGAAATCAATCTCTCAATACTAATAAACATTATCTACCTTCTTTGCTTTAATCACCAACTTATATCAAACAATCTAAAATCACTAATAAAAAAACTCTACACTATAACTAATATCAACTCATAGTATTCCCAAAAATAAATCCAAATATGAATTCTAGTTATACAGAGGATCAAATAGAACCCAACCTTCTTATACTTCAAATTTAAAAACAAACTTCTTCAACAGTTTACAGATTCTAAAATATTTAAGATAAAAAACTTTAAATTTAAAATTTTAATAAATGAACTATCTAATCAACTTAACTTATTTAAACATCATCTCCAAAAAAATACCTCACCTCTATATAAATATTGCAATACAAAAAATGAAAATAATGCATATTGGCTTATATACCCAACTAATACTATCACACTAACTTAACTTCTCAATAAAGTTACAAACAACTTTTTTTGAAAACACAGTCTTCTAACTGCTAACATTACTAACTTTACTCAAGCATTTTCCCGAACTCATATAACTAATCAAGCACTCATTAGTATAATCACAGAAGACATACTAACACCTACTAGCAGCTACAACAAGGCCATCTACTTAGCTTCCGAATTTTATCATACAATTATCACTGAAATACATAAATCAATATAAATTCCAAGTAAAATAACAGTTAACAACAACAACAATCATAATAATACAAACACTTTTGCACTATCTAATCTAAATATAACAATTCTCAATCCTATCTTTAACCCAAATACAAATAGCAAATTTTACTTCTGGCAAAACTCTTATATTAAATTTAATACCCCACTACATTACATTCTTGATTTATAGTCTAGAGGTCTTTCAATCTACCTAGCTAAGGTTAAGATCTAGAGTAAAGTAGCTCCATTCCCACTTCTCCCAAAAAATTATATAAACTTACTTTGTAAAATCTGTATAATAAATAATAAAAAAACTGAGGAAAAGATCTTATTTGAAAAAAAAAAATAAAAAAATAATCTAAGCTTTTATTTCTATATATAATTTAGATTTATTTGTTATTTAACAAATTAGATTTTTTATATGCTGTATTTATTATATACAGTATATAAATACTTATATAAATTATTTAATAAAGGCCTTATTTTAATAACAAAAAAAAAAAAACTAGTATATACTAATAATACTAAAATATAACCAATATAATAATATATTTTTTAAATTAATTTATTAATTATTTAAACTTGAAAATAATTAAAACAATTTAAAATACTTGAAATAAGGCAGAGTTAAAACAATTAAAATATACAGTACGATACTATATATTTTAATCTCTATTTTTTATATAGAAGTACTATTATATTATTATACAAAAATTAAAAAACTAATTAGTAATAATCAAGTCAAAACTTACAAACAAGTTTTTACTTGTTTTATATCTGTAACTATAAACAGATATATAGAAAAAACAAGCCAATATAAAACCTTTTAATAATATTACTAAATAAAACTTTTTTAAATTTTGTGCTATATACATAAGCATGTTGATATACGTTACTCTGGATTTATCGACAACTTTTTTTCATTAGTAAAAAAAATTCAAATATCGAAACAGTGAGCTATACCGACATTTTATATTGAAATTTTGAAAAATATTGAGAAAAAATGTCGATATAGAAAAATTATATTATGAAGTCGTTGTCGGTATAACCAGAGTGACGTATGTACATCAAATTAATCTTTTGATGTCGATCTTTTTAATTAACTAAACTCGGTTTTAAACGGAATCATTCTAATCTATGTTACAACATTATAGTCCTCACACCACCAAACTCGCCAATCCTATAAGGAAACTCGCTACCAGGGCATGAGATAAACATAAGAGACTGTTAAAAATACAATCGATATTATGTAAAAAAATAAAAAAATTAAAATTAAAAAAAAATTACGGTTGATGTACGTAAATAGCATAAAATAAACACGGTTTAAATATGAACATACGTACCTTTGGAATTCGTAAATGCTTCGAAATACAATCCACAGTTTTAGGATTAAACTCTCCTTGAATTAAAATCTATGAAAGTAGTTGTAGTCAATACACTTAAAATTATAACACATTTATAAATTATGCATATAAATTATTACCAAATCAATTTGTATTTTTGGATATAACTATAAGTTGATAATTAATACATAAAAAAAAAAGTTAGTATCATCGATAGTGTTAAATACCATATAAAGAGAAAACTTGCCTCATCAAGGACACGATGGTTCGCCTCAAGTCGTGAAGGTATCTTGATTAACAATTGATTTGAAGAAAATATAAGACATTGAACAGTAATACATTTTATATAAAAAAAGAGATCATACGTTCTCAATCGCCATACTTACATCTTCGATTTTTTCATAAATATGAATCAATTTCAAATAGCTGCTAGATTCCGAATTTTTGACATATAGAATGGCTGAAAAGTATGAGAGAAATGAAAACATATTTTTTATAAGAAATAGAGTTAAATAAGTGAATGGAAATATTAAAATAGAAATATTAAAATAGAAATATTAAAATAGAAATATTAAAATAGAAATATACCTTTATTGAGAATATGAAGTTCATCAGTTTTTGTAAAAAATACGACGGGTTGTAGCTTCAATTTTTTGATTGATCTTATAAGCACTTCATCTAATTTGTATTTATGCAACGTTACGGTCTTATCCAAGTAGAAGAAAATTGTTTTTAAAAGCCAAACTCTGTTCAACATAATCATCATGATGGTAAATATAATTCCAAAGTATATTGCAAAGTATCCTGCAATGGCTGGGTCATAAATTATATTTCCTATTAGTCCAGCAAGGATACATGCCAATCCAAAAACTGCGGTTCCAGTAGATACACGAATCTATGATACAATTTTAGGTAAATTCCAAAGATTAAAAATATAAAAATAGATAAAAATAGATAAATTACAAAATAAATCAATTAGATTTATGTAGCAAAAAAAAAAATTCTTACTGGTCGATATAATCTTCCACGTTTGTATTTGAGAAAAATATTCCCAACTGCAAACTTGTAAGGAGAAAAAAAAAAAGGTTAAATTGCTTAAATTTGGACAAGATTATCAAAATTGGTTTGAAAGATTAGGCTTACCATGCATAGTACGCTGAGAAATGATACGGCAAATACACCTGATAATGACGTTACATCGCCTCCAACTATCGTGAACAAAGTTATACAAAAGATAAGAAAGCTTAAAATAATCCAATGATAAGTATTGGTAAGCCGATTTCTATTTAACAAGAATTGTGGTAATAGATGATCGGAGGCCATCCTATGAATCAATCCCGAGACACCAACAAACCCAGTCAACACGCCGGCACCTAATACGATAACTGCATCGACGGTGATAAAAATTTTCAACCAATCACCAGCAGCATAGCCACCCAAAGTAGAAATTATATCATTTTGATGTTCTTTGAAAGTTGATAAGGGCATTATCGTGATTGCTAAGAATGAAATGGGAGCATTAAATATAAAAGCCAACACCCACATATTTCGAATTGTCTTTGGAAAGACACCAGGTTTTTGATCTTCTATATAATTACAAGAAGTTTCAAAGCCAGTGATCCCTAAAAGTCCTACACATATACCATTAAAAATATCAAGTAATGGATTTCCAGAACCTGGATCTTTCCAGTTCTCAATCAGTATACTATTCCCTTGAATGATCCACCGGACCAGACATGTAATTATCAATAAGATTAATGTCAAACAGTGAAAAATGAAGATTACAAAAGCGACATTAGAAGATTCCCGAAGACCTAACATTACAATGCCAGCAAATAATACTATAAAACCAATAGTAAGCCAAAACATGACAGTATTAGACAAATTCAAAGCGCCGGAGAGGTAAGATGCAGCAGTTGCAGCACTAACAACAGCTGTTGTCACATAATCTAATAACTCTAAAGCAGCAGCAACAGATGCAAACCATTTTGAAGAAGTATTTAAGAGGACATTATAAGAGCCACCATTTAAAGGTAAGGCGGTACCAACTTCGTTTATAATATTTTTGTATGGATAAAGGATAATCGAAATGATCAATAATGATAAGGGAGCGTATTTTCCGGCCACAACCGTACATATTCCAATAGTATAAAGAACTGACGCAACAATATCATTTCCGGATATACTAGTAGCACGCCATTGACCGAGTAAAATGGGGATTGATTTTAAAGGTTCAGGAGAATTTATTGGAAGATCGATATAATAGGTTGAACCCCAACTGTAAATCGAGATGTAACATATATAAATAAAATATATTTGAAGTTATAATAAAAAAAAAGAAAAATAAAATTAAACATACCCAGCAAATTCCCAAGAATTACTTAAATTTGGAGTCCGAGAAGGAGTTGAAGTAGTTTTTAACATCGATTCATTAATTGGAGTTTCTGGAATTTGTATGTGATGAATCCTTGCAGTATTTTGAGCATTTTGTTCAAGATATTTCTGCCTCTGAGACTCGGCAAAAGATGGTGGTGGATCATTGAACGAATTAGTTGAAATTGCTAAAAAGGAAAACACAATAAATACAGTTATAAGATAGAATTTTTATATATATAGTAAAATAATATACCTATTTCGCTTTGCTGTATAGAAGTCATTACTAAATTATCATTTTGTAGCTGAATACCCATACTAGAATTGGTGCCGATGGACGGTTCTCCTGACATTATAAGTCTGATTAACAGGATTAGGAGAGAGATAGCGTAAGAAGCAACGTCCGAACAATTTAACTTTTAACTGGCATTTCCATATTTGTTTATTTGTAATTTATACTGTTACTATATAAATGTAATTACCATTGATACGTATTTCCGCAGTATTTTTTATCAATCATAATACAGTAATAATCATAATATAACATACAACTGATGCAGTAAAAGCCAATAAACAAGCGGGATATTAACGTTAATAAACGCCATCTTTGCGCAAAGGTGTTGTGTTCCCTTAACATTAGCCCTGAAAAATCTCCTTATTATGTGATACTAAATCAGGAAGTGATTGTTGATATTTCCGACTTGTTGAATGAAATGAAACTGGGCATCAATAAGACAATGGAGACAATGGTAATATTATTGTCCTTTAAAGTATTAAAAGATATATTTTTTTAGAAAGTAATTTTTAATGCTGCTAACCATTTCTAAAAAACGCCAAACTCTAAATGTCTAGATTCGTTTTAGTAATAGGTGTCTAAATTAAAATGGATATATAATTATATATTTTAGATAGCCGTCAAAAATAATAAGCTTCAAAAAATCATTACAGGATGCTGTATATATCTTAAGATATATATATCTTAGGATGTCTAAAATATTTTTGCCATTCCAAAATATATATCTTGAATGACGAAAATTAAATATAGTAATATATATATATATATATTGAATATTAGAAATTATATATATACGTATAACGTTTGCATACCGATACCATAGCGATCGATCGATCGATTATTATGTATACGTACAATATCTGATACGTATTTTCGGGTTTTTTTTTCATTTAAAAATATATTCGATATCCAAATTTTCATTACTGGATATAATATTAGAGATATAATATACTATATATCATTAAACATATTGTCAACTCAACTATATTTGTATAATTTTTCATAACTTGCTCAAATTCTAACTCAGGAACTGTTTAATGATTTAGTTAAGTTCATTTTGAGCATTAGTTATAAGAAAATATTCAATAACAAATCTGTTGTAAGTCGTGAATCCAGTTACAGTACAGCAATAAGGAATGTCCGTTTATTACGTAATTTCTTTTTATTAGAAGTCCTTCTTCCCCTAAAAAAAAATCACGCACTTCCTTAACGTTAATAACTAATTATTAAGCAACATACTAAGAATAGATCAGTTACTTTGAGTAACAGGGGTTTTTTTTATCAAGACTTTCCATGTATAACTATGGATGGAAAACTATGTAAGGCAAAGCGGAAGACAAAGCGAAAGCTAACGGGAAAATTGAATTTGTGATTATGAACGTCAATAAGAGAAGTGAAGTGAAACTCTCATTTTATGAAATAAAATTACTTATTTTCGAAAATACAGTAATATAATCATTTTTACTAAAACGCACCTATGGTGTTTTACCACCTATGATGCATTATCTTAAAAACTGCTAATTAATTAATATGCGATACACTAAGTAAAAATGCTCTAGTCCCCCAAACCCTTCCTAAACCTTAATTCTATCACCAAATACTAAACCCAATAGGAAAAATTTGTGCTAAAAATTTTAATAAAAAACTTATACGTAAAACTTGGAAAAATATATAAAAACATATAATAGGACCATAGGTGCGTTTTATAATAAATGAATATAATTATACTTTAGACTATGCAATATTAACCAATTATTATATATTTAATTTTGCTAGCTTTGTATATTTTCTATCTAGAAAAACAAAATCATTAAAACTAACCTAATAAGTTTATATAAAACAATTTTAATATACAATATTGAAATTTTATTTATAAATATGTATAGATTCATATAAAATAAAAAGCTTCTTTTTTTTTTTTAATAATAAACTATGCTTTATTTAAAGATAGAATTAACAAATTAAATTTTAGAATTAATGTTAAGAATAGGACTATGTTTTTTTGGCTCATAAAATTATTAACATCGTATCGCACTTGAAATTAAATCTAACTCAAATACACAAGTCAAACTTCAAGTTCCACGTCTTGCTCCAGAAGACAAGACACAATTAAGAAAAACCTGCATTTAGCAAAATATTGCATGCTCCATTCACGTTCACGTCGCAATCGATTTTTAGCAAGAAGTCTGATCCGGTCAAAAAATAAGTATTCGAATATTCATTTGTTCAAATAAATAGGGAATTAAATTAGTGACGTATTAACTTTGTAATCAGCGATCTATAAATTCTATTTATTTTTATTTGCAAGCTATTTATATAATAAGATATAATGGCTGGAGCTGAGGGAAACGAAGTGGAAGCCTTAAAGCTATACTCTACGATTTTTTAGAAATGTCCGGTTCCCGGTTCAGCTGGTCCTGATTTAGGTTCGGAATCCGAAAATTGAA